CTCCTATCTTATACATTCACACATGCATGTTGGATATCCAAACTTCCCTTACATACAAAACCTCCTTTGCCTCCTCCCTCCATCCCCCTACCCTGCTTGCCCTCCACTACAGATTTATACACCCTCCAAGTCATCATATTTTATTCCATCCACTCTGAATGTCCAAACCATCTCACAACCTCTCCTCAGCCCTCTGGATCAATGGTGGGCAAACTACGGCCCGTGGGCTGCATGTGGCCGGCCAGAGGTTTTCATGTGGCCTACCAAGATCATGTGAAGTTTCTACTTTAAAAAATTAATTACTTTTCTTTAAAAACCTTTTATTTAGGTTATTTTAAATATTAATTTACTTAATATACTATGTGGCCCTTGAAAATTGTGAATTTCTGAATGTGGCCCTTGAAAATTGTGAATTTCTGAATGTGGCCCCTGCAATGAAAAGTTTGCCAACCGCTGCTTTAGATAAGACTTTTAGTAACCCCACACCTCCTCCTAATTTCCAAACTATGAATTCTCCGCATAATATTCACACCACACATTGCCCTTTAAAATGACATGTCCACTGCCTCTAGAACCCTCCTCACTGCAACATTCACAACCCATGTTTCACATGAAAAAGAATCCTTCGTCGATAAGCCATTCATGTTGTAAGAGGCAAATAAAATGCCAGGAGCAAGAGGCTAGTAATCCCTTCTGCTGTATTAATTACTTAATGTAAAAAGGTAGGTAGTATATAGGTAGTATTATAGTAGGTATTATAGGTAGTAGGTTGGTAGATAGCAAACACACAGGGGGGTACTACCGTCCTGCCAAGTGAGTGTGAAACGAAAGTCTGTAATTGTTTTACATGATGGTAGGATTGCTGGTGTCTTTTGTCTGTCTCATAAATATGCAAGATTACAGGTACGTCTTGCTACTTCTACTTACACTTAGGTCACACTATACATACATGTACATGTTTATTTATACACATTCATCTGAGTTTTCTATGATTTTAATAGTTCTTGGTCTTATTACTTTTCCTTTTATATCCATGGGGAAGTGGAATCAGAATCTTTTCTCTGTAAGCCAGGCGTGTTGTAAAAGTCAACTAAAATGCCGGGAACAATGGGCTAGTAACCCCTTTTCCTGTAAAAATTACTAAAAAGAATGAGAAGAAGAAAATTGTCAAAGTGGGAAGTCTGAATGTGCGTGGATGTTGTGCAAATGATAAGAAAGAGATGATTGTGGATGTTATGAATGAAAAGAAGCTGGATGTCCTGGCTTTAAGTGAAACAAAGCTGAAGGGGTTGGGAGAGTTTCAGTGGAGAGGAATAAATGGGATTAGGTCAGGGGTTTCAAATAGAGTTAGAGCTAAAGGAGTAGCAATAATGTTGAAGGATAAGTTATGGCAGGAAAAGATGGACTATAAATGTATTAATTCAAGGATTATGTGGAGTAAAATAAAGGTTGGATGTGAAAAGTGGGTTATAGTAAGTGTATATGCACCTGGAGAAGAAAGAAGTGTAGAGGAGAGAGAGAGAGAGAGATTTTGGGAAATGTTGAGTGAATGCGTGGGGAGTTTTGAACCAAGTGTGAGAGTAATGGTGGTTGGGGATTTCAATGCTAAAGTGGGTAAAAATGTTGTAGAGGGAGTAGTAGGTAATTTTGGGGTGCCAGGGGTAAATGAAAATGGGGAGCCTTTAATTAATTGAGCTATGTGTAGAAAGAGGTTTGGTAATAAGTAATACATATTTTATGAAGAAGAGGATAAATAAATATACAAGATATGATATAGCACGTAATCAAAGTAGTTTCTTAGAGTATGTATTGGTGGATAAAAGGTTGATGGGTAGGCTCCAGGATGTACACATTTATAGAGGGGCAACTGATATATCGGATCATTATTTAGTTGTAGCTACAGTTAGAGTAAGAGGTAGGTGGGAAAAGAGGAAGGTGGCAACAACAAGCAAGAGGGAGGTGAAAGTGTATAAACTAAGGAAGGAGGAAGTTCAAGTGAGATATAAGCAACTATTGGCAGAAAGGTCTGCTGGTGCAAGTATTAGTAGTGGGGGGGGGGGGGGGTGAAGAGAGGTTGGAACAGTTTTAAAAATGCAGTATTAGAATGTGGGGCAGAAGTTTGTGGTTATAGGAGGGTGGGTGCAGGAGGAATGAGTGATTGGTGGAATGATGAAGTAAAGGATGTGATAAAAGTGAAAAAGTTAGCTTATGAGAGGTTTTTACAAAGCAGAAGTGTTATAAGAAGAGTAGAGTATATGGAGAGTAAAAGAAAGGTAAAGAGAGTGGTGAGAGAGTGCAAAAGGAGAGCAGATGATAGAGTGCAAAAGGAGAGCAGATGATAGAGTGGTAGAGGCACTGGGGAGGAGGAGTATAGAAGAAGTGAATGTTTTCAGATACTTGGGAGTTGATGTGTCGGCAGATGGATTTATGAAGGATGAGGTTAATCATAGAATTGATGAGGGAAAAAAGGTGAGTGGGGCATTGAGGTATATGTGGAGACAAAAAACGTTATCTATGGAGGCAAAGAAGGGAATGTATGAAAGTATAGTAGTACCAACACTCTCATTGGGTATGAAGCTTGGGTTGTGAATGCAGCAGCGAGAAGGCGGTTGGAGGCAGTGGAGATGTCCTCTCTAAGGGCAATGTGTGGTGTAAATATTATGCAGAAAATTCGGAGAAGGTGTGGAGTTAATAAAAGTATTAGTCAGAGGGCTGAAGAGGGGTTGTTGAGGTGGTTTGGTCATTTAGAGAATGGATCAAAGTAGAATGACATGGAGAGCGTATAAATCTGTAGGGGAAGGAAGGCGGGGTAGGGGTTGTCCTTGAAAAGGTTGGAGGGAGGGGGAAAAGGAGGTTTTGTGGGCGAGGGGCTTGGACTTCCAGCAAGAGTGCGTGAGCATGTTAGATAGGAGTGAATGGAGACGAATGGTATTTGGGACCTGACGATCTGTTGGAGTGTGAGCAGGGTAATATTTAGTGAAGGGATTCAGAGAAACCGGTTATTTTTATAAAGCCGGACTTGAGTCCTGGAAATGGGAAGTACAATGCCTGCACTCTAAAGGAGGGGTTCGGGATATTGGCAGTTTGGAGGGATATGTTGTGTATCTTTATATGTATATGCTTCTAAACTGTTGTGTTCTAAGCACCTCTGCAAAAAGTGATGACAGCCAATAAACTTACGCTTAACACTGACAAAACCTACTACATTATGTTTGGTAGCAGAGCAGGAGATGTGCAAATTAACATTAAGACCGACAACACTCTAATTGCCAGGCATAATGAGGGCAAATTCCTAGGCCTATACCTCGACAACAACCTGAACTTCAGCACCCATATCTAACACATAACCAAAAAAGTATCCAAAACGGTTGGGATCCTCTCCAAGATACGATACTACGTGCCGCAAACTGCCCTTCTCACACTATACCATTCACTTAAATATCCATACCTCACCTATGCTATCTGTGCTTGGGGTTCAACTGCAGCAACACACCTAAAACCAATAATAACCCAACAAAAAGCCGCAGTAAGAAAAATCACTAAATCCCATCCCTGGCAACACACCCCCCCCACTCTTCATAGATCTAAACTTACTCCCTGTTCAGTACATCCACACTTACTACTGTGCAATCTACATCTACAGGACCTTAAATTCCAATATTAACCTTGACCTAAAACGCTTTCTTGATAGTTGCGACAGAACCCACAGGCACAACACCAGACACAAACATCTCTATGACATTCCCCGTGTCCGACTAAACCTTTACAAAAATTCAATGTATGTCAAAGGCCCTAAAATCTGGAACACCCTACCTGAAAATTCTAAAACTGCAGACACATTCATCACCTTCAAAACTACCATCAGAAAACATCTTATCTCCCTGATACACCCTGTCAACTAATTACACGAATACCACCTGGTGGTTAACACTTACACTCACTCACCCATTTGACCATAAACAGAAATATCAATCTCAATCTCAAAATAATGAATCTTAACTAGTCATAAGTTGGCCTGTGATACTCCAATACTGAAACTATGTATAATGCCAAAACAAAAGCATTCACATTGCTATACTCACAAACTAGTATTTAGTCACTTAGCCATAATACCAACTTACCTCATAATTTTGTAATATTTTAAACTTAAAATTTAATTTAAGTCTGCCCAAAATGCCTAGCCATGCTAGGTGTTCTAGTGGTACACTCTGTAATTATTATTTTACTATATGTAAACCACACAATAACCAAATTCTGTAAACTCAGCATTGTAATCCTTATAGAGAACAAACTTTGAATTTGAATTTATGTGTGAGTGAGGTGAAAGTGTTAAATGATGATGAAAGTATTTTCTTTTTGGGGATTTTCTTTCTTTTATGGGTCACCCTGCCTCAGTGAGAGATGGCCGACTTGTTAAAAAAAAAAAAAAAAATTCTATAATTATTATTTTATTGTTATAATATTCAGGGGAGTGTGTTTCCTTTCTCTGGGTGATGCTGCTTTGGTGGGAGATGGCTGTTGAAAAAAAAAAAAAAAAAAAAAAAATTACACCTCTCTGTATATTCAAGGAGAAGCATTAAATCTGTTCAGAGTTGTACAGCATCCGAGTGATGGGGTTTGATTCAAGAGAGGGAAAGGCAACTGCAGATGACAGGTGCTATCATACCACTGAGTAATATCCTGACTGAGCACAGTGACGGTTCTGTGTTTCATGGCCCCAGAGAGACAAGTCTCTCATCACTCTCCTCTACTTTACTTTTGACAAAATAATTTAGATCGTATGAATCACCTGAAGATTAAGATATGCTCATTGTTTATTTGGCAACAAAACTAACTTAATAAGTCCAGTTCCTTAGATAAATAGTCCTTCACTGATGTCACAGAACCTCCCTTGAGGATAGAATAGCTCCAATTCCTTGGATCAAGAGGTCTTCAACCACCCCGTGTAAGGAGTACCATGCACAATAATTCAACCATACATAAAGACTTCTGAAACCTACCCTCTTAGTTACTATGGCCTCGGCTTCTTCCACTATATCCAAGCATTTCTGACGTGTGCTTTCGTTCTCCAGACATCTCCAGGCTTTAGTCAATTCTGAAAATTACTCAGTAGATTTAGAATAAAAAATATACAATGAAAAGCATGTTCAATATAACCCATGTCATAACATGTTAATGAATCTTCTTTCCAATCACTTTATGAAAATTACTCATTATTTTTCAAATAAAATTTAAAAAAAAATAATAAATTTACATACTATCCATGACAGTGCTTTTATTTATTTTCTTTGTGATTACTGTTTTAAACACAAATCTCCCTCATATTTTATAATCCCTTGATTTGCTGATGTGCTTACTCAGCTAATATTAATTCTTTTAGTATGGGCAACAAAAGCCTCTGATATATAAAGTTTTTTCTGTAAACAAGCAAGAGATAATAACACCATACTGGTAATAGTTAAATTTCATCTCTGAGTACAGGTTATTTGCCAGTTGTTCTGCCATGGTACTCTGATTTCTATTTGTACATGTTCTGAAGCAGTGCTGTTATCAACCTAACACTGGCTTTGTTATGTTTAATGTTTATTGATTATGTAAGGATCATTAATCCTTTCACTGTCTCATACTTAGATCTACATCACTGATGCCAGTGTCGCTCATGAGGATCTATGTCTTGAGCACAGCTCTCTCAAATATGCCGTGAGCTGTGAATTTTGGCCTAGACATGAGAGAATGGGTTTGCATGGTGAGTGTGCACCGTGTTAAAAAACCCTGCCCCACACAGTGCATGTGTTTGGTTTAAAATAATAGCGAGTTTGAGGTGTTTTTTATTATTTGAAATCGAGACAATTTTAGTTGCTTTCAGACTGGAAGTAACTTGAAAAAGAGCTGATAGAAATATGTATTAAATCTGTGGCAATTTTCCTGAGGAAGGGCCAGACTTGGTTTTGAAGTTAACAGGTAACTAAGGTGAGTGCAGCGAGTGAATGTGTAATGAGGTAATGTAGTGACCAATACTGCATAGATACTAGCAGCTTCTAGAGCATATTTTGAGGAAATTTTGCATTTGTGTCAATTTTGCTTGACCTACATGGCATATCCCAGAAAGGTGTTCCTGGTTGTGTAATGGTAATAACTAGTAACAAATTAAGTTTTTGTGCCCTGAATATCATGACATAGCCAGTCATCAATATTTTTATCTTACCAGTGCTTGCTTGTACAAGTGGGCCCCACTTCACAGTGCTTCACTTTATAACATTTTGTTAATCATTCTTCATTTATTCAGACTTCCTACAATAAATATGTTCACTACTCACTATAAGCAAAGGACAAATATATTTGTGTACTGTATATGCATTTTTTAGGCTTCGCTATATTGCTCACTTAATACAGTGGAACCTCTACTTACGTGTTTAATCCATTCCGTGACCTTGCTCACATCTCGATTTGCTCGTTTGAGTCAATTTTCCTCATTTAAATTAACCCTTTGACTGTCGCAACCCCAAATCCTGAGGTGTCTCCTGGTGTCACAAAATATTTGAAAAAAAAAAAAAAAAAAAAAACTTATGAAATGATAGAGAATCTTTTCCCAATGGTAATGACACCAAAAGTACGAAATTTGATGGAAACTTACGGAATTACACTCTCGCGAAGTTTTTCACGCAAATTAAAAAATATGCCAATTTCAAAAGAGGGTTCCAGAATGAACAATGCAGTCATTCCTGGATCTAAAATAACATTTTCTTTGTTCATCAGTCATGTCTCCAGGCCCTCTGATATTACTCTTGCTTTTTATTTTGAATTTTTATTCAAACAAAAAATAGAAGATTTACTGTTATGCAGACTACTGCAATATTGTAATAATTGTATAAATAATGTCAACCCATTCATGACTGCATATTAGAATGGCTAGTTGGACATTTATTGGACAATGTCATTTGTTTACTCTTGAACATCGGCAAAAATCAAACATTTCCCCTCCTATGAGCTCCATTTCAAGGTCCTTTTCATAGTAAAACCAATCAAAATCACCTCCATTTCTATAATATGTTTTCCATTCTATCAAATGTGACTACGAAAACGAGAATATAACCATAAAAACTATATGAAAATACACCTCAAAGTCAGCATTTTAATCCAAAAACACAGTTGGAGTTTTTTTTTTCTCATTATGCACGGCTTGCTGCAGGATTTTTTTTAAACTGCACACACTGACCACACAGACCCATTCTCTCACATGTGGGCCTACCAGCTTTCTCCTGCTTGAGTTGAAACCGGTAGAATTTTTGAGTATATACATCAAACACATTGGCTCGTAAGACGTATATATACGACCGAAACAGTCAAAGGGTTAAATGAATTGGAATTAATCCATTCCAGTGGAATTCCAGGCATGACAAAATACTTCAATATTTCCCTAATATCATCTCTATGGCTTATTTATCTATCACAATTCATCTAATATGACATAATAAACAATATAAATAACATAGAAACCTGATATATACTCTAGAATGAATAAAATATGTCATTGTGTGACAAGTGGAGGCAGCCATAAGCACTCCCACATTGTGGTATTCACTGCCATCTAGTGATGACCTTTTGAAGCATCCTGTTATTATAATTATTATAGTACACTATTATTATACAAATATTATTATTATAAATAATATATTATTATTATTATTATTATTATTATATTATTATACTATTATTACAATAATGCAGTAGACTGCATAACAGTAAATCTTCTATTTTTTGTGTGAATAAAAATTCCAAATGGTAATAATAATAATAATAATAATAATAATAATAATAATAATAATAATAATAATAATACATGTATTTAGGTAGTAGGCTGGTAGACAGCAACCACCCAGGGAGGTACTACCGTCCTGCCAAGTGAGTGTAAAACGAAAGCCTGTAATTGTTTTACATGATGGTAGGATTGCTGGTGTCTTTTTTTCTGTCTCATGAACATGCAAGATTTCAGGTATGTCTTGCTACTTCTACTTACATTTAGGTCACACTACACATACATGTACAAGCATATATATACACATCCCTCTGGGTTTTCTGCTCTTTTCTTTCTAGTTCTCGTTCTTGTTTATTTCCTCTTATCTCCACGGGAGAGTGGAACAGAATTCTTCCTCCGTAAGCTATGCATGTTGTAAGAGGCAACTAAAATGCCGGGGCAAAGGGCTAGTAACCCCTTCTCTTGTATAAATTAGTAAATTTAAAAAGAGAAACTTTTGTTTTTCTTTTTGGGCCACCCTGCCTTGGTGGGATACAGCCAGTTTGTTGAAAAAAAAAAAAAATATAAATATTAAATGTCAGCTACCAAACCTGTTGAAGGGTGTGCATCCACTAAGGGGCGGCTAATGACTGAGAAGTGAACTCCGTTATTTATGGTCTGATTTCTTTCAATTTTGGTGTACGTTAAGAAGCATCTTTCCATCATACAGTGCCCAAGTTTCAATAAGAAAGTCCAACAAACAAATGAGATCCAATTCCCTAGATCACAAGCAAGAGCCCCTCACCAGCGTCAAGGAACCTCCCTTGAGGCCCGCTCGCATCTTGAAATTTCGCTCGCATCTGGTAGCAAAAAATTGACCGAGCAACTGCTTGTATCTTAAAAAACTCTCACATTGGGGCACTCATAAGTAGAGGTTCCACTGTATATGATAGTGTAAAAATGTTATCAGGTTTCTATATTAATTTGAAAGTGAAAAAAAGCTATGTTTCACTTTACAGCAATAGCCCAGAACCTAATATGCCATATAAGCAAGGCCCTCCTGTAGTTGAAATATGTAGTCTATTTCTGATACCCTATGTGCTTTTTTTTAACCTTCACTGTGGCTGCCACTCAGCCAGTGCTTATTCTCACCTTGTGGCTTAATACTGCCACTACAGGTAATAATGTGCATCATAAGAACTTAAGATAGGAGCACTGCAACAGGCCCACTGGCCCATGCTAGGCAGGTCCAAGTCACACCCATTAAAGAAGGAAGGAGCACTGCACTGCTGCAAATCTACTGGCCAGGTCCAATTTACATCCACTCATGTACTTATCTAACCTATTTTTAAAATTGGTTAAGGTGTTAGCTTCAATGACTACTCAGGAGTCATGTCATAGTTTCATTTCTTTGTGTTAAATGTGATTATGGCATTTTCCAGTTTTGCTACTCTAACACATAGCAGCCATGTTAACACAAACATAATGTAAGAGAGTAGTTAAGTAAAACCCATGGCCAACAGTTGGGCATTTTTACTACCGAAATATCTGATCCACTCAGCAGGCTTTTTTTTCAGCCAAGTACAAAAGTGACTTCAATATTGGAGACAGCAGAAGCAATAGAGGTAAGTATGAGGTGATCAATCACTCATCTTTAAAGTGGTAGTAACTGAGGTGGTCAGATCCCTCAGTCTTGATAGGTATTCAGCTCCATAGCCTTGAGCAATATTTACATCTCCATTGCTGCTGCTGCTGCTGTCTCCATTATTTATGTCACTTCTGTATTTGACTGAAGACCTGCTGAACAGGCAAACATTTCCAATAATAGAGATACCCCATTGTTGTATGTGTCTTAATCATCCAATATAATACTTGTCTGACACAGCAACTCTATGGTGTCTTGGTACAAAGGACATCAACCTTACTGCTCAACCACTGAGTGAGAAGAGTTGGAGTTGAGAAGGCCCTTCCTTGCATGGACAACAGGCCTGCTGCAGTACTTCTCAATTCTTACATTTTTACTCCAACTATTAGGCTCTGCGTCATGTGATGCCATATCCACTTCCACACCTCATTTCTGGTTCCAGCGTAAAAAAAGGCTACATTCTCATGCTTCAGCTTCACACTGATCAAGACCATGAAATTACACTTATCAAAGCTGAGGGACTGATAACCTCATATTTACCTCTCCATTACTGTCTCCAGACTTGCTCATCTACTTGTCAGGGTTAGATACCAATAATATACAGTAATATCATACTGTAAATAAGACATGCTTTACCACATAAACCAAAAACAAATCTTGTGGTTACCTCAAGAATGGCAGTGTGAAAAAAATCCAATAATTATTGTAAATGCAT